CGGCCCTCGTTGAGGGCAGAGGTGAGGCGGCAGAGCCAGTAGGGAAGGAGGTCAGCCCACCTGCACGCGCTGACGCGCAGTGGCCTCGCGTGGTCGTCCTCCTCGCAATCGCACGCGAGGGACTGCTCAAAGACGAGGACGTTGATGTGCAGCCCGGCGGCTGGCGAGTCGGCGAGGGAGGAGCAGACGAAGACGTCGGCGCGGATGGTGGGCATGTAGTAGAGTCCCTCGACCACCTCGCTCACGCTGCTCCGCCCCATCACACGCACCACCACCTCGTGCAGCAGCTCGCTCCAGAAGAGCGCGCCGTACCGCTGCGCGCGCGGCGGCGCGGCGGCGTGCGCCGCCGGCCCTTCGTCGCCGAGCGGCGTGAGGATGCGGAGGCTGGGCGCGCCGGCGACCCCGAGCGGCACGACCGTGCAGCGCTGCTCCGCACTGCGCACCAGCTTGCGCTCGAGCACCTTGCGCTGGGCGAGCACGGCCTCGCGCGAGCTGGCCTATTCACAGCTGTAGGTGTGAAGAGGCGCTGTTCACAGCTGGGCGAGCACGGCCTGCGCGAGCTGGCCGGCGTGCCGCCGCCGGGGAGGACGAGGCGGAGGATGGGCGTGGCGGTGCTCTCCACAAAGTGATCCATCTCGAGCACCTGCAGCGGCAACGTGACGCGCTCTCACGGCAGTCGCCTCGCCTCCCTGCGCCTCCGCGGCCCCCGCGTCTCCGCCGCACCCGCTGGCCGCCGACGCGGGCCATGTTTGCGATGCGGCTCCCGACGGCCGCCGTCTCGTAGGCGACCGGAATCGCCTTGGCGTCGGAGCCGAGCGGAGGCGCCTTGACCTGCACCTGCCGCCCCTCGCCGCCGCCGCCGCCGGAGCGCGCGCTGCGCGTCGGGTCGATGAAGACGGAGCGCTCGAACGCGCCGCCCACGCCGTCGTCATACAGCGCCGCGTCGGCTCGGACGTCGGGGTTCACACGCGCGTTGCCGTCGCTCCGCTCACGCGACCGGAGCTCGCTCTGCACCAGCCGCTCCAGCGCGCCGTCGCCCAGCTGCGCCCGCACGTCCTCCACCGCCAGCACGTCCACCAGTGGCTTCTGCGCCGGCCCGCGCGGCTTGTGGGCCTTGCGTGACGCGTGCTGCGGCAGGCCGACCCGCTCGCCTACGGGACGTGTCTCGGACATGTCGCAGACGTGTCAGGGGGCGGGGGAGGAGACGCCGGTCTCCGCTCGCCGCCAAAGGCGCCCTGGTTGGCGCTCGGGACGCTGAACTCGTTACCGCTTCCGGAAGGCGCGGCAGCAGAGGCGCGGCCGGCCAGCGTCGCGCCTCCTAGCGGCGGCGGCGGCGGCGGCGGCGGCGGCGGCGGCGGAGGGGCCGGTGACGTCGCCGGCGAAGGAGGAGGCAACATGGCCGGGGTGGGCGCTGCGCGCTCTCGGCCTCTCTCCTTGTCCCTCTCCCTCTCCCTCTCCCTCTCCCTCTCCCTCTCCCGCTCTCGGTCGCCACCCGCCTCTGCGTGCACAGGCTCTCCAGCGCCGCCGTCGACCAGTCGGCAGAGATGCCGGCGTGCGAGGGAGGCTGGCAGCGAGAGGGACCGCTCGACGGTGGTCCCGTCCGCCAGCCGGAGAGAGACGGCCAGCCGAACCTGCCCGCCGCCCGTGCTCGCCAGGAACTCGTCCATTGTCTGCGGCGGCTTGACTGGGCGCGGGCGCGGCTGCTCGCAGGCGGCGCAGGCAGCCTCGCCGGGACGGTTCTCGAGAGTGCATGCCGGACACGTCCACATCTCGGACGGGCCCTCGGTCCTGCTCTCAGCGACCAACTCCTCGAGCAGCTCGTTGATCACGCCGTCCACATCATCGCCATGCCGCGCAATACGGAGGCGGAGGTCGGCGTCCGACAAGCCGTCACCGACGACCGCACGGACGGCCTGTAGCTGCTCGAGCTTTGCAGACGGCTGCCGCGCCGCGATCGGGTTGCCTGAGAGGTCGTATACTGTGGGCTGCGGCTGCGGTGGCTGCTGCTGCGGCATACTGCTACTGCTGCTGACTGCGACGCCACGCCGCCGAGCCATCTGCTGCTGCTGCGGTGGCTGCTGCTGCTGCTGCGGAGGCTGGAAAGCTGGCGCGCCTGGGTATGGCGTGGCGGCGGCGGTGAAGCCAGCCTCGCGCAGCCGCTCCGCTCGCTCGAGCGCGCGCGTCGCACTCACGCGGAGCAGCGCCTTGACAGTCGGGTCGCTCTCCTCCGACAGAGATCCGAGGAGCGACTCGGCCGCCTGCTCGTAGAGCGCCCTCGCAAGAGCCGCGTCGCCGCCCGCGTCGGCCGCCTCGGCAGAGGCGAGAATGTCGTTTCCGGGCGCCTTGTGGCGTCGTCGGCCCCAGCCGAACATGGCTCATGGATGGGGTTGTCTCTCTCGAGGTCTCCAGGTTGTTTCCTTTATACTGAGCACTTGAGCACTTGACCCGCCAGAAAAACGGTATGGCGGTGGAGTGCTCTCTACTGCCGCGGCGCCCCTGTCGGTTCGGAGGCGCCCGGCGGCCGCGCACTTGGTGCCGACGTCGACCAGCTGCTCTCGCGGCGCCGAGACGTGCGGCTTTGGTCACGTCACGCGCGCTGCGAGGTGTCTGGCATGTTGGCGCTTGGCAAAGACGCCAGGAAGCTCGCCTTCCTTGCCTGCGGCCGCGGGCGTGCGCGTCTGAACCACACGTGTCCCTCCATTCACACTCTCCCAGTCCTTCCTGGTTTAGTGCCCGCCTTCTCCGCCCGTCGTGCTGAGTTGGTCGCACCTTCGTGATTCTT